ATATATATATATATATATATATTGGACCAGCTGAAACAAATTGATAAAGTAAAGCTGGATAGATGGATTCTCCATGAACTAAACGAGCGTCAGAAGAAGAGCTCGCCTTTGTTTGCTGCCACTGCATAAAAGCGAACCATTTTTGTGCGTTTTTGCATATGTGCAAATTGCAAAAACGCATATTGGGAAGAGGCTGTTTGTGTCTGTGTTTTCGCACTTTTTGTCACCCACTTTCAACTCGAGAACCAGAGAAGCTAGAAAATTGAAACTTTGGGAGTATGTGCCCATGCCATGCGCGACCCTCCCATTTTAATATCATCCCCCGCGAACGCCTGGGTGCCGCATACAGGCACTTTAAAAAAATATATGTTTTTTGGCGAGAAGGCGATCTCGGCAACCACATGAGCTAAGGGTCTGAGACTTTGTAGGGATATTCCTTGTGCAAGTACTAGCTAAAAATTTCAAATTCAGCCTCCAGTTGTGCGTGGTTCTTACGTAAGAGACATAAAAAATTTGGCGGGAGAATTGCTAACGCGGCAACCAGAAAAACTGCAAGATTGAAATTTTAGGGGGATGTCCCCTGTCAACGTGCAGTTTTAAAATTTTTTAGCAAAATTAAGTGATGAAGCACAGACCGCGCCATAAAATGTCTTCATACACATGAAATTCAAGTGAAATCCTTCTATCCCTCTATTTCCATAAAAATTCTCCTTGACGTTTAGATACGTAGGATACACTGTACACCTTCTTTTATGTCTTTTTTCGCATTTGTCTTCCAGTATCCTTGCCGTGCTGAACCATGAAAATCCTCTTATAGCTGTCTTTGCAGCACTTTGCAGCAGTGTACATTAAACCTCAGTATCGCATAGCACCCTATATCATTGGCTTATGTCTGGGCTATCATTTGGCTAAGATACAAAACAAGGATTATCGTGATGTCCGACACTCCAGTGTATTTGTTTTCGCAGGATGGGCAGCAGGTGTCTTTTACGCCATTTGTGCCAGTTATGGCCTTTATCCCATCTTGCAGGTAGGCATTTTATGCAAATAATAGAAAGCATGTATAAACTGTCGCGTACTTCCTTCACAGTCATAATACCGACTGAAGCAAACAACGAGAGCTTACTAATTTTTGGGTGCATTACGGCACCGAAAATATGTAAATCAAACATTTGGAAAAGTCAAGAAGTGGGCACCACAAAAAAGAGAAGAAAGGGGATCCAGTCCAGAAAAAAGGAAAACTCCGGCTGACCTAACGAGACGCTGGTAGATGGGATGGTATGGAAAGCTACGAAAAAGGCGCCCCACCACGACCATATAGACACTTTTTTTTTTTCCACAAAATTATGTCTGTTGCCTCTGACCCGTTTTATTTGCGATTTACGTTACATCACTCATGTTTACTTAGCTAAAATGCTTCGTAGCGTCTTTTTGGCACGACTAAAGATGCCAGGATCTATAATTAGTTACGATTCCATATAGCCTGGTGAGGGGAACAAGTTGGATTTTGTAAGAATAATTTAAATCTTTGGTTTTTGTTAGTTTGATAGTCCCGGGGAATTCCTAAACCATTCCGCGTTCGTACAAGGCAAGGGTGACTGAACAAGCGATAAAAGTGTTATGGTGATGTGTAAATACGCTTAACAGCTTTATGAGATTTTTCATTAATGCACAGTTATTAGAGTATTAAAAATCATTTGCTGCCAAATTTTCTAGATTTATCTGCTCCAACTTAAGATATTCACCCTCCTCTAAAACAGTTTTGCATCCAATTCATTTGGTCACAGTAATTTGAAAAGCACAGGGATTAAACTGGAGAATTTATTATCTATTCTACGGGGCATTGCACCGCACAATATTTGCGCTTGCTATTGCTTGGTTAGTATATGCTTGCCATACTGGATATGGTGGTTTTGTCAATGCATTTCTGAGTTGCAGATTGTTTCTACCAGCTTCAACATTGTGCTACTCGGTAAGAACTATATTTATCGTAAAGGTATGAGTAAAACGTGCGCGTCGTTATGCTTACAAGATGATAGCAAACAAACATTGTCTAGTCTTGAAGCTAATCACTGATCATAAAACGCAATCATCTTCCTTTTAGGGCAGCTCTTAAAAGAACTTAGTAAAAAGCATACCGGCTGCCGGTACGAGGATGCAGTTTTTGCACAGTTTCCTCGCAGGTTTTTTTTGCCAGCGGCACGTTCTTCTCGGCAGATGCTTCTAGTTAAAGGAATTGGGACTGGCCACCACGACTGTTAGAAATTATTACAATGACTCCCAATCAATGCCCAAAAAATCCAGCGATCTGCATGCTTCAGTTGCAGTGTTACGTCAAATTTCACGCGTTCGCGCGTGAGTGGCAACGTGGATGCCTTCATCGCTCGCGGTTGCTCAAACACGGTCCTGGGTAGCGCCCAGAAGGTTTCAGCACTCCAGCTGCTCTGGTCGCGAAGTTACGTCAAATTTTACGTGTGTACACGCGAAACGTACGTGAGACATGAAAGTGATGTGTAATTCGTTTTTGCATGTGTCTGGTCGAAGGCTACCGCTGATTATGCTCAGAAAGTCCAGGCCCTCTGGCTGGTTCAATTCTGAAATTACAAAAGCGCATGCGTGAAATTTTCATGTGTTCGTACGTAAGATGCAGAAGAGTTGATAAATAATTTACTTTCACGGGCACAACTGTAGGCGACAAGTAAAGCTGCAAAATTGCAGCTCTCTGCAGCTTATTGATCAGCTTAAATCTGGAG